GGCTTGCCTGTGGGCCGGGCTTGGGCCTGAGTTTTGAGCCCACCGGCAGGGCCTGGACGGGCTTGGGCTTGGCATATTGGCATTTTAAGGAAGAGGCCCGACCCACGGCCCTAAGCCCTAAGGGCTTTTCAGGGCTTTTTACCAGATGGGCCGGGCTTGGGCTTGAAAAATAGGCCCGGTGGTCGGGCCTAGGAGGGCTTGGGCCTCAGTTTTCTGCCATGGGATTTTTCAGGCCCGGCCCAAGCCCGGCCCGGCCCGGTCCATGGCCAGATATAGCCAGCCCAACCATTCCTTGGACCTTGATCTTTCAAAGAAAAGTTACAGGATCTGGAAATAGGCCAGGACTATTTCTCGCCCTACGCGAGACGTAAGTCGGCCTCAGCTCTGGCCACGAGGCATTGGGCCAGCCCAGTAGTCGCGGCCCTGTTAGATTTTCCCCCTCTTTTACGCTGTATTTTTCGTATCTAGTACTTCTCTTTGTTTCTTCATCGATTTCTTCGGTCTTTCTTTTAACTTTACAACATTCGTCACTGCTTTTATTTATTTACTTTCTTCTTCTTTTTCTTTCTTTTCAACGCATGTCTACTTATTTTCAATACACATTATAAATTTTTAGTATATATGTGGAATATTTTCAAATATAAAATATAAAATTTATACAAAAATGGTTTTCAAAAAAATTGAATAAATGTATATTTTCCAAATACATGTTGAAGACTGTATTAATGAAATGAAACATTTTATGGAAAACTACATAAGTAATCCTTTACATTGTATAATTTTTTTAAATGTCACGAATATTTTCTTAAAACACATGAATATTTCTCTAAAATTTCATATACATTTTTTCGAATAGTACTAAAATTTTTGTATACCACGCAAACATTTGTTTACACTGCACAAACATTGTGTTTAACATGTCACGTACAATTTTTTGAAACATATGAATAATTTTTTAATGTCACTTGCATTTCTTTGGTGATACAAACAAATTGAAGTGTGCAAACATTTTTTACGGTATATATATATATAGAACGAATTGTTTTCCTTAGTGTGTGAACATTTTTTGGATTTCACGAACTTCTTTTCAAATACTATCAACAGTTTTTAAAAATTTCTCGATAAGTTTTTTGACACTACATGAACATTTATACATGAGCAATTTACCATTTTAGAAATAAGTAAATTTAATAAAAAAAACAAAGGTAAACATTCGCTCGGAGCCATTCCTCCAGCTCGCGATAGGCCGTCACATTTATGTCGGTGCCTCAAGCGAGGGTCTGTTAGGAGCTCATTTTTCTATTATAACGAGACAAAGCCCTATATTCTGCTTGCTGCGGCAAAGTGTCGTGCTTCCGCACTGGATGCCATGCTAAAGCCGATATTAGGCCGGGCCGTCTTAGCTATTACGTTCTCCTGGTTTTTTTGAAGAGTTCCTGTCTGTTTTCTGTTGGGGTTTTGGAAACCTTCTACAAGGTTCATTGAAATGGTTTTTTATTTATTTTACTAATTTTATGTTTAATTTGCTTTTCTTTGTTTTTTCGTTTTAAAGTGTTTTATACCTTTTCTGCTCGTTTTTCAGTTTCTTTTTTTATTTTACACAAATTATTTTTTAAAGTTCTTTCGAAATTCATTTTTTACCATTTTTTGGGAAATGTGTAAATTTTCCAGAAATTCAGAAAGATACAGAAAATGTTCAGAGTTTCAAATTGTGGTTCGGATTTTAAAATTTGTAAACATTTTACAAAAAACTTTCATTTATTCAAAAAATCAGAATTTCAAATAGTGTTCACAATTTTAAGTAATTGCTCAAAACACAAAAAAGTTTGGGAATAGTATAATTTTGTTCATATTTTAAAAAGTTGTTCCAATTAAAAAAATCATGGTTTAAAAAGTTTTTGTGTTTTCACAAATTGTTCGTCATTTTTAAAAATTTCTTTGTGTTTTTGAAAGTATGTTCGGCATTATGAAAAATTGTTCGCACTTTCAAAAAAAATCGGGTGTTTCATAAGTTGTTCAAATTGTCAAAATTTGTTCGTGTTTTTCAGAAAATGTTCTCCAAAAAAATTTGTTTTTTGATTCTCGACACTGCAGTTTGCTCGTAAATAACTTTGCACTGGCTATGAATCAGAAACAAATACCTGTCCACTGGCTAGTAGCAGGATTAGAGTTTGAAAGGATCTATTGCCGGACTCCTCACCCATCCCCCATTCCCCAATATACACCTGGGCAGTCGGTCCGTTCTCTAACCGCTCACAAAAAGGTAACCAAGCTAGGCTCCTCAAACTGGACCTATACGCTCAGACTCATCGACACACCTCATTTGTCCAGCCCAAATCTAAGGTGGATATGAGAAGGACATGGTGCATCTGTCATGTCAGACTGACGTGTGGGATCCATGTGAACACCCGTTGAAACTGAGCGATCCAATGAGATCGCCACTCCGATTCTTCCCGGGGTGCCAAATCCGACTATTCAAGAAGGAGGGAAGTACCTGACCCCTAGCCCATCCCATTTCCCCTCTCCCTCTCCTCTGCTACACCACTATCCAATCTGCTCGCCCTCCATCAGTACTCATGGCTCGGCAGCAGATCACCACTTATGTCATGCTCACCCCGGCATGGCAGTCTGAGCTGCTGGAGGAGATCCGGGCTAGGCGCGAAGCTCGGATTGCAGCCGGACTGCCTCCGGATCCGCTGGAGGAGGAGGAGTTTCATTCTGGTGCTTCTAAAAACTGTTCGTGATTTAAAAAAAAAATCAGATTTGTCAAAAAATGTTTAGAATTGTGTCACATTTTTAAATTAAGTTTTTGGAATGTTTTGAATGCTTTTAAATGCTATGTGAAATGTTTTGGATTTTCAAAAATTGTGTCACATATTTTAAATAAAGTTTTGGAATTTCATAAATTATTTGTTTTTTGAAGAACTCGGCATTCCAAAATTGTTCACAATTTTCTAACGAAATGTTTTCACTCTTTTCATAAATGTTTTTACATATGAACGTTTTTGTATGTTCTTATATAGGACGCGCTATCTATCATCACCAGTAGTCATGAGGGCGAGTGGATACCTATGCGCACCCCGAGGGCAAGGTCCCTGGTTTGAGTTCTCAGGGAAGTTTTTCAGGGAAGCTTTTCAGGGAAGTTTAAAAAAGGTACCGTGTTTTTAGTGATGTTTCTTTTGAGGAAGTTTTTTAGGGAAGTTTCAAAATATGTTTGTTTTCATTACGAAATGTACAACATGTATTTCTAGTAATGTTACCATGTATTCAGAAAAGTGCTAAAACATCGCTCTAAAACATATCTTTATCTTTACCTAATAATAAAGCAAGTTGGGTTTCTTTCGTCCGTCATGGCATTTTTTCAGAAAAGTTCCTCTATTTCAGAAAATTCAATCCGTAATCCTGTTTTAAGTTAAAACGAAGCATTATTTTCTTATTTTACACAAAAGTCCCTGTCTTTTCTTGAAATCAACCCGCCGTCCAGATTTAAGTCACAACCGAACTGTTATTTTACATTTTTCGAACCCCCCCCCCCCCGATGTTTTAGGTAATTCATCCGCGGATCATATTTAAGTTAAACAAATGATTTTTAAAATCATCCATATCTTTTAAACCGTAACTCCGATTTGAACATGTTATATATGAAATTTGATTAGAAAAATATGTATAATATGAATATGAGATTATTTTTACCTGTTAAGTATTTCTAAATATTATTTAGGAATATATTTGAGTCAAACCAAATGATTTTCTAAATTATCTGTATCTTTTAAACCGTAACTTCGATTTTGACATATTATATATGAATTTTTATTAGAAAAATGTGTGGAATCTAAATATGATATTAATTTTACCTGTTAAATATTTTTAAAATATTGTTATGGAAGCAAACTTATATATAGAGCAAGATCCGTTTTTTTTAATACCGGGGGCGATCCCGATTGTAAATAAATACCCCACTATAACCATATACGAAAAAGAAAACATCGATAACTACACGTGGATACCTCTGAAAAATGTCGCAAGGGAAAACAACAGATTTCTCATTGCGAGAGTGAGAGAAAGCGAGCGAGAGAGAGAGGGGGGGGGGAGGGAGAGAGAGACGCCTTAAGATTAACCATATTCAACACACGTTTTTTGTTGTTTTGTGTGAACACCGAGGCCATCGCCGGCGAGGGTGAGAAGGAGGATAAGCGGCAACACAAATATGATGCCTCGCAAAAATAAAGGAGATGGACCTATTGTGGTCTTGAGTGATGGTTGTTGAGTTAAGAGTGTGTGTTATGTTTTCTCTCCCGTTGCAACGCATGGGCTCTTTTGCTAGTATAAATAATGTATTTAAAAATGTCCAAAATTTATTTAAAATATTACACATGTGCGCTAAATAATTACATTGTATACTCAGAAAAAGTAGACATGTGTCAAAAAACTAAACCAATTAAAACTGGCAAAGAAAAAAAGAAAGTAAAAAAAAACAAGGAAAAATCAGAAAATAAATAAAATAAACCAAAATTTTAACAGTGAAAACATAAAGTATAATGAAGAAAAAAAAGAAAACCGAAGGGAACTGATGAAAAATCAAAGAAAAGGTAAAGTAAAAAGAAAAAAAAACATAGCAGAGGACTATGCATGAGTGGGGCGAGCCACTGCACTAATGGGCCGGCTCAACTCCAGCGAATACAAGGTTCATTTTTCTATTGCCCAGCCCAACCGCTTCTCTGCCTTGATACGTTGGATCGCCAGAATCGACTAGCGGTGCAACTCTTCTAAAAAAAGAGAGAGACTAGCGGTGCAATTTATGTAGTCACATTCTTCTCAAAACATAATAATTATGTAGTCACATTCATTCATCCAATTATAGAATCAATCAGTGGTCTTGCTCCAAATCAAACGGCACATACAAAGGTGACTGAAACATAACAAAGTTCCAGGCAAGATGTACATAAATGATCTTTTGCATTTAAAACATTACTTACGTGTGATATGAAGATACTAATAGACTACACTTTGGTGCAGACTCTGGCATTCCTGTAGACCTTGCCGGGCCTGCAGACGTAGCCTTGTTCCGGCGCGCAGTGCACGTCCTGCGAGCACACACACATTCCTTCTAGCGCACACCCAGGTGCAATGTTCGTCGGTGTGTCACCACCAATGCCGAGCATCATGTCACTCCAATCGCTGGAGAAGAGGCCATCCGGGTCGTAGGCGTCCTTGACAAGCAGGAAGTCACGCATTTTGGGGTATTTGCGCGAGGCGCCGACGAAAGCGACATTGCGATTCTTGCCCCAGTGTGGCAGCCCGCCGTACTTGAATACCCCCATCTGCTCGATCTCCTCAAGGACGTCCTCGTAGAGGCGCGCCCTCCTTGGGTCGCGGCTGCGGTAGTAGGTCATGTCGAACTCTACCATGTCGGCCGACTGCCCGCGCACTGCCGACTTACCGAGGTACGCGGTGGATGACTTGACATAGCGCATTAGGATGCCGTTGTAAAGGTCGATGCCACAGAGAGACCCGGGGTTTAGATCATGCAACCGCCGGACCTCCTTGATGAATGCCCTAGCGCGGCTCACAGGCATGCTAAAGGCGGTCTGGTGGAAAAAGCCGGTGCTCCTCACACGGGGGTCCCAAGGGCAGGTTGTCCTGAGTCCGTCCTCCGGCGCCGTCAAGCAGCCACCCGACGCCTGCATCCGGTCTTGCCTCCCTACTACGGGATACCCCGTGAACGGCCAGCCGTTCCTTCGTGCTAGGCCGTACCCGGCTACCGAGATTGTTGTGCGGATCACCCTCGATGTCAGGCACTTGCTGTTGCCGTCGCCCGCCTGCTCCGACAGCTCCTCAGTCAGTCGGTTAGCTCGAATCAGTAGGGTCGAGGTGGGGCGGAAGCCGATGAAGTCGAACACACCCTCGCCAGAAGCGTTCATGGGCAGCCTGTCATCCTTGCGGTACACAGCTCGCCCTAGACCCGGATACCAAGCAATGTCGGCGAATTCGTGCTCATAACCGAACTCGGGCACCCGCTCCGCAAGGTCATCGTCGTCCCGCTCGATGAACGTAGTTGAGCGCTTGAACAGAGGTTGTAGTGCCAGAGTCACCTGCAAATTTAACCACAGAACATATTAGTATTTTCTTAGTGCAAGAACCGCCACACACAACCCCATGCAGTATGCACCATCTAGAAAAACACCATATATATTCACACGTTCAAAATTTAGTTCTTAGTCCAGCTATAGTGACATGAGAAGTTGAGATGAGATCCACGTTTGGTGATGGCTTGGCCGGTCTCACAAATTTCCGCTAAGAGTGAGGTATTGTCCGTTTGAGCAAAAATCTTGCATCACGAGTATCCCTCGGTGCCAGGGAGTGGCTCCTGGGGCAGCTCGGTAGAGGGTGGTGGCGGTGGCGCCATTGGTTCTGGATCCGGCCGGCGTGAATTAACATGCATGGTTGGGTTTTTGGGTACTAGGTTGGTTGATCGATCTAGCGCATGCATGCATGGCATCGGGCGACCCTCCTACCGGACCCGCCCGCCCTTCTGTATGGACGAGGCTTGCCTGCTCCCCTAGCGTGTGCCCATCTGTGCTCCCGCGTACGTGGCTTAATTTGATTGGAATAAAATAAAACCCGGCCCCACCCCCTTAAAATCAGGGGGGAGATGATTAGATTAGAAAAAGAAAAGGAAAAAAGACAGCCGTAGGATGAAGTGGGAGCACGGATGGGAGCATGGAGAGGGAGAGGCAAACCGGATCCCTTCTGTATGGTTGTTCGCCGGTGGCAAATAATAATTGGCCGGTCGACTTCCTCTTTTGCTCTGGTTCGTGAACAATGTAGGCCGAGCAATTAATGGAGGGAGCCCGGTTGAAAAATCAAAGGATCCCAAATTTCGATTGCAGGTTTAATTCGGGCCCGTATGCTCCGCCCGCCAAGCAATTTGGGTGCTAGCTGCTTGCCGAAGCAGGCACTCTCAAACTTGAATGCTCGTTTAATTCAGGCCGTACACATGGTGGTCCGGGGATCCATCCAAATGAAACGTGAACTCGGTAAATGCAGTACCTAATATTGATAATTCAAGCGTCTGGACTCACCTGCGCCCGACGAACAGTAACGTAAAACATCAATAGAAGAAGAATTCAAAAAATTCGGAATTTTTTGTGGTGCAAGATGCTGAAATGCGTGATGTTCGTGCAAAATTTCGGGGTGTTTGAAAATTCGTGGAGCTAATGGAAAAAAGACAAAATGGGATGTGAATAATGCCAAAAAAAGGTACAACACTGAATTCATATTGTTTCATTCATATTTGAAAAAAGTTTCTATTTCTTCCGATATATAAATCGTATTACGTTAAAACTAGAAGGGAGGGAGCATGTTATCCAACATATTTATGCCATTCGATCGGGTTCATGCAAGTCAAGGCGAATACTAGAGTACCATATACTGTATTGCTAAGACTTCACAAACATATGCTGAACTACTTAGGCTAGGAATGCATGCAGTTGATCAGGTGTAAATGTGCCCTACCTGCGAGATGACGCCTAGGACGCCGAGGGAGACCTTCGCGGCGTCCATCTCCGGGTCGGCGGACGTGAGCACTCGCACCGTGGCGTACCCGTCGGTGGCCGGAGCGGGCGTGACAATGCGCATCCCGACGATGTACTCGTGGACGGCGCTGCCTTTCCCCCAGAGCGAGCTGCCGTGCGCGCCCGTGCCGAGCATGCCGCCCACCGTCAGGCCCCACCAGTACGGCGAGTAGGGCAGCGTGAGCCCGGCGTCCGCGGCCGCGGTGATGAGCTCCCGCAGCGTGATGCCGCTCTCCACCGTCATCTCCATCCGCGCCGCGTCCACGCCCACGACGCGGTTGAGCCACCTGGTGCTGATGGCGAGGCCCCGGCCGTCCCCGGCGCCGGGGCACGCAAGCTGCGGAATGCTGTGGGAGAACCTGGTGGTGACCTTCATCTTGGTCTTGCTGGCCGTGGCGTTCGCCACCGCGCGCACCAGCTCCTCCTCGGAGGAAGGGTACACCACGGCGCTGGTGCGGCACGTCGACCGGTCTGGGAACACTCCGTACGCGCTTGAGACCGTGCAGTCAGCTTTGCCATTACCAGACGAGCACTGCACCGGGTCCGGTGGGGGGCTCGCCGTGGCCTGGCGGCTACCTGCCGGCGCACTCAATATCATGAGGAGGAGGACCGGCAGCTGCACCGGATTCATCTTGCTCTTCTTGTTCTACTTGATCTGAGCCTAAGGACCGCAGCAGCCACACCTCAGCCCTACAGGCTACAGGTGGGTATAAGAATGGGCTATATACGCAACGAGCTAGCTATCTTCTTCATTTGTGGTGATCATTCGTTGAAAAGTCGGACGAATTAATGGCATGGAGTTGGATTTTGTCTATTTCAGCACAAATGGGTTCTCTAAAAGTTGCTATTGTCCATCTAACTAGGTAACATGTATGCACAATTTTTTTTATTGTAATTCTTTGTCAAAAACGGGTTTTTTCAAGTGTTGAAAAAGATATGTGTTACGCATAATTGATGTTGACCATTAGAATATGTATTGTCTCCGTTCTAATACATGAACAATTATTAGTGAGGTAAGGGCATCTCCAAGGGAGACCCGCAAAGCTTCGATATATGACGGATCCGACACATTTGCTCACTTTTGCAATCCAATGTGGACCCTTGTCGGTCTGTGAAGCGGTCGGAATGTCTGTTTTCTGGCAAATTGGAGACAAAAATAAGGAAGATATACTGGAGTTCGGATATCCATTTGACCAACCAAAAGCCTCCGTATGGTCTTCCTCTTTTCTCTCTCTCCGCACATGCATGGTCTCCCTCTCCTCTCTCTCCTCCCAATCGAACAACACACCACAATATCTCACCACATGCGTGGTCCCCACCTACTTTTTGCGAGAGCATGAGCTTCGCCATTATGATGGTCGATCTCACACAAGATTGTAGTGTAGCGGCAGGGAGCTTGGGACCCGATGTTGGCATTGACCTCCACACAATCAGACTGATCTCAGGTTAATTAAGAGCATCTCCAGCCGTTGCCCCCCAGGGGGCGCCTAAAATCGCCGGCTGGGGGTGACCCGGCGCAAAAAATAGGCCTGGGGCCGAGTTGGTCCCCAGCCGCCGCCCCCAGGCGTGTAAAAAATAAATTTGTATAGCAAATTTACGCAAACTTCGGCTAAAACACGACAAATTTCGGCAAACTTGGGCATATATTCGCGGATTTAGTCGAGTAGTCGCCATCTCATTACATACGTAGCAAATATATAAACTAATAAAAAAATGGCTGAACGCCGAGTAGTCGCCGTCGTCGCCGCCATCGTTGGCCTTCTCCTCCTTGATTCGGGCGCCCCTGCTGGACCCCTCCCCAGCTGGTGGTGGCGGCGGCGCGTCGTCGTCGTCGTCGCTGTCGTCGATGATGACGACTCCTCCTTCGTCGCGGCCTCGGCGGCGCTGCGCGAAGCGCGGCAGGGCGGCGCACTGGCGCTCCCTCGCCATCTTCATGGAGTCCTGGCGTGCCCATTCAAGGGTCGCATCGTCGTCGAGCTCAACCTCGCCGTGCTCCGTCTTCATCGACACCAGCCACGGCTCCGTCTTCACCGGCGCCACCCCCGACTCCGTCTTCACCGGCGCGAGCCCCGACTCCATCTTCGCTTGACGAAGTGCGGAGGAGGAGCCGACGAGGAGGCGCGCCGGCCGCCCTCGCTGATGACGATGCCGGCGCTCCTAGTGCGCCGGCCGAGCGGCGTCTCCGCCACGGGCTCGGCCTTGACGCCGAGCAGTGTCGGAGTGCCGGAGGATTGGGAGGAAGAGCGCGACAAGGAAGAGGAGGAGGAGGAGCCGAACCTCCTTGGCGCCCATTGCCCGTCGCGTCGGGGTGCGCTGGGGTGGCTGCCCTCGCTGTGGGGTACGCCAACGGCGGGTTGTTGCCGCCCTCGAGGTCCGTCAGCATGCCCTCAAGTGTGCGGCTGGGGGCGCCCCACCACAGGTGGCGCCCCTCGCTGTTCTTCAGGCGCCGACCACGGGCGCACCGTTGGTGGACGCCAGCCGCTGCTGCTGGCGGCGCTCGAAGTACGCCGCCCAAGCCGCGTGGTTGTCGGTAGCGTACTGGGGGAGGGAGAGCTCGGCGTCGGTGAGGGAGGCGCGCACGATCTCGACCTCGTCGGCGAAGTAGGAGGGTTTGGCCACGACATCGGGAAACGGGGGAATGGGCACTCCCCCGTTGCTGAGCCTCCAGCCCGTCGGCCCGGCGCGCATGTCCGGCAGCGCCGGGATGTTCGCCTGAAACAGGAGCCACGACTCCTGTTCGCGGAGCGAACGGCGGCCGAAGCCGTTGGCCGCCGCCTCGTCTCTGGGAAAACGCTCGGCCATCAGGAAAGGGGAGGGGGATGGAGGGGCTGGGCGGCGGCTCACGGGAGAGGGAGGGCTAGGGGAGAAGAGCTCGGCGGCGGCGCTCGGGAGAGGTAGCGCTCATCAGAGGTGAGCGAGGCTATATATAGCCGCGCCGCGTCCGTGTGTACACGTTCGAGGGAGGGGAGGCGTCGGCGCGCCGCCCCGTGACGTGCCGCCCATGAGGAATCAATGGCAAAGCTGACTGGCGGCAGCCTTGCCATTGATTCCCCGCGGGAAAGCGAGGCGTCGGGAGAAGACGGGGCGGGCGGTGTCACTGACGCGGCTGGCCCACGGCTCTTTCGCGCCAAAAACGATTCGCCCGGCGCCCCCGAACGCACCCCAGCGCGCCTGGTTCGGGTTGGGTCCGCCGGCGCCAATTTCGGCCCGAGCCGGCGAAAAATGGGCCCCTGGGAACGCGACTGGGCCGATTTTTTGACATCGGCGGCCGAAAAGTCGCCTGGAAGGCCTTGTTGGGGATGCGGCTAGAGATGATCTAAGATCACATGCCAGTGATAGTGCCCCATTGACGCATGAGCTTCGAGAGATGACGGGTCTGTGAGACATTCGAAGACACGAGCCTAGGCGTCAAGGCACGCGCCTTCTTTATCTCGACAAATCACTGCTACCACTCCTCGGTTACTGCTCCTTGACGAGCCGCTATCGCCCTTGTGGTCTCACGCATGTTTCCTGGAATTGCATGCAGGTCCCTAGCCGGTACTGGCTTGCTCAAAGCGACAGAATTAAGATTCTCCAGGAGCTTTGTGATAAAACATGTAGTGCTCATAGGGCTTTGGTAAGTGGTTCCTAGCGACCCGTAGAAGTAGCATTTTCACATACAACTCATGCAGTCATGCACCATCTGAAAAAATTCCATACTATGCACCATGCAATATCGCCACACACACGTTCAAAACACAGTTCTTTAGTCCAACTTTATTTACATGAGATGTTGAGATCCACGTTTTGTGATGGTCTCACAAATTTCCGCTAACAATTAACTATTGTCCGTTTGAGCAAAAGTCTTGCATCACGAGTATCCCTCCACGCGTTCGGGAGGCACAGGAGGTTACCGTGGCTCCTGGGGCAGCTCGGTGAGGGTGGTGGTTATGGAGTAGGTTGGCTTTCTGCGATCGATCTAGCGCATGCATGCATGGTTGTTCGCAGGCGGCAAGAATAATTGGTCGCTCCGCCTGAAAGGACTCTCCTTTTTGCTCTGGTTCGTGAACAATGCAGGCCCATCAATTAATGGAACGGCGAGCCGTTAAAGGACGGGGACCCGTTGAAAAATCAACGGACTAATTCGGGCCCACATGCATGCATATGCGTGGCTGTCCGCGGATCTATCTAAATGAGTGCACTTCCTAAAAAAAATGAAGTGTTTCTTCGCTGTAGTTTGTAGCTTGTGATCACTTCAGCATGTCGTACTGTACTAAGCTTGTGATCTGTTATTCAATATATCTGCGTCATTCAGGTTTTCATGCAAGTCATGGTCTGCATCAGAGTCACTATTACCGGAGGTACCGTACATGTATCATGTACTCCCTCTGTAAACTAATATAAAAGCGTTTAGATCACTAAATAGTAGTATAAACGGTACTCTAATAACATAAGACATTTTTTGACACTAATGTATGACTAAACGGTACTCCCTCCGTCCCAAGTAGTACAGTACGTATGGTGATCTTGATCTGTGTACAAACAAAGGCATGCTGAAATCGATACCCTAGCTAGGGCATGCATGCCGTTGATGTACTGGTTGATGTAAATGTACATGTACTTGGTCATATATGAGAGAATGTACTTAGATCTGTTGAAAGCACGCACTAGCTAGCTGTGTGAGCGTCCTTGTAATTGGGCGCTAGCTGTGAGAGCCTCCATATAATTACCAAGCAGACACTCTCATCTTGAATGCTGGTTTAATTCGGGCCGTACACATGGTGGTCCGGGGATCCATCTAAATGAAACGTGAAACGTGAGCTCCGTAAATGCAGTACCCAGCATACACACCGTACAGTACCCATGATCCTAACGTACAAGTGACTACAGATAGATATTCCCTCCCTTTCGGTTTATTATAAAATCCCGCGAGTATCCCTAGATTTCTTATTGAAATTCTTCTATGAATATGCTGTTAACGGATAATTAATTGGCGAGACAAGAAAGGTTGTCTTGATGCTGTGGACGGTTGGACACTCACCACTTCGTCATCCAACTAATGCTTTTCAAAACTTATATTTTCCAGCAGGTTGCAACGTTGATTGTTTTTCTTTCCTGGCATGTGCAACGGGTGGGCAAGTATTGCACGGGGATTCAGCGCGTGTTAGTCAAGCTTACAGACCTAGTACCTCATATTCCCTCTAGTTGGGTTGATAAATCGGACGTGTCCAGGTTGGAGACGTTGCTAGCTTAGTAACTCATAGTCGGTTGCTTGGTCGCAAGCCCAAGGATATTGCCCCGCTTATTTTTCAAGCCTCAAAAAGGAAGAGATCGATGCTTCGTCAGGCCCTTCGAGGGAACGCTTGGATGACCCACATCAAGCATGACACTATTGTCTCCGTCGCACTCATCCGGGAACTTTTCTCGCTTTGGGCTCTCGTGCACGACTTCCATCTTGACGATCAAGCTCAGGACGACATTGTTTGAAAGCATGCTGATGATGGGTAGTACTCGGCGGCCACAACATATAAGGTGCAATTCCTTGGCCTGGCGCACTCCCCATTCACCACATGGTTTGGAGAGCTCCCCCCCCCCCAGGTTAAATTCTTCGCCTGGTTGACCTTGCAAGACCGGAACTGGACCGCCGACCTG